TATATTTCATTGTGACCCTCCCTTGAGAAGCCCACACTTGTCCTATCAGATGCATACTCTCCCTCTCTCTCTCAGAGCATCTTTACACTTTTTAATAAATTGCCATATTTGGCTCTCCTTTAAATTAATTTCCTCATTGAAGTCACAAATACAAATTTTGCCTGTGCAGAGATCTCTGAAAAAGAACTCCTCATGCACTTGACAGTGTGGTAGGACCCTCCCTTGAGAAGCCCACACTTGTCCTATCAGATGCATACTCTCCCTCTCTCTCTCAGAGCATCTTTACACTTTTTAATAAATTGCCATATTTGGCTCTCCTTTAAATTAATTTCCTCATTGAAGTCACAAATACAAATTTTGCCTGTGCAGAGATCTCTGAAAAAGAACTCCTCATGCACTTGACAGTGTGGTAGGAGCTGTGTCCCCATGACTACTGACAGCTCCACTATGAGGCTTAAGATCAGAGAAAACAATGGATCCCCTTTTTTCCTTGATTTTTCAAGCAAGGAATTATTCCTATACACTAACTATGAAACACAGTACTGTATCATTTGTAACTAGAAGACAGGATATTGAATGTCTCATAACTTTTATGATTATGCGATTAAGTGAAGGATATTCAAATTACCCGGTTCCACAAAATAATCATTTCACAGTATATATCTGTACAAACCATTATCTTTTACCCACAACATACATACAATTTATACATTGATAATTTTAGTAAAATACATGATAAAAAATGAAGTCAGACTAGATCTTTGGTGGTAAGAAAAATGGATAACTTCTTTACAAAAAATAAAATGAAGATATTTTCCCTGGGGCCAAAGTCAAGTATCAGAAACCTACAATGCATATAAAAAGATGTCAAGGGATCTTCTGTTGTCTAACTTGGCTGTGTCTCAGCTGTTCTGAGAATTGAAGGCTCTATCCACTAGCTTCTGTTCACGCAAGTCCTCTTAAGTACTTTCAGACAAAATGTAAACAACTCTCATAAAGTGTTTCCTAGAATGGCTGAAGTGGGATCATAACTCTCTAGAGATATCAGCTCCCACAAGTGTGCTCCTCCTGGGATGTGTGAAGAGCTTGCCCTCCTAGCCTTGATATTCCAAAAGCCCAGATTCTGTTCCACAGCAGAGTTCCACAGATGGGGAAAGAGAATGCACGGTACAATCCTCTCCTGGATGTGGACATTAGGCCAATGCTTTGAACAAAAGAGTTTCACATATCCCTACCACATCCTTGTATCTCTACTTATCATCTGTTCCTAGGACAACAGTAAGTATTTAAAAGGCATACATTCTTATGCCACCCACTTTAAGGCTTAGGGAACATTATGGAGGAAGGGATTAGTAACACCAAAGAGCCAAAAAAAAGGATCTTACTCTAGATGTGATACAACTATTGCAATTGTTAATTCACAACAACTTTAGTTATCTACTATGGACCCCCCAAAGACCAGCTCTATCAGACGGAAGTCAAGAAAGGGTGGGGGGTCTTTGGCCCATCCTTTACTTCTGAAATACTAGCTATTGATAGAACTTGGTAGAGGAGGTACTACTGTATTTAGTTGTGTGCCCACCATCCCAGGGACAATCCTAAACCCATGGGCACCAAGACAGCCCTGGTTAACCTCAGTAGGTAACAGAAAAAGAAAAAGAAATACAGAATAGATGAGAGAGAGAGAGAGAGAGAGAGAAAGAGAGAGAGAAAGAAAGAGGAGAGGGGGGAAAGAAAGAGGAAAAGGGGGAGGTGACAGGGTGGCAGGGAGGGGAGAGGTGAGACTGATTGGTTTGTAATATACGTGTGAGCAAAACTGTCTAAAAACAAAAATCAGTTTTGAAATCTAAAACCCGCATGATCCGTGGCAAGTTAGATGTGAATGATGGGGCGGAATGTCTAACCATTTTTATGCTTGAAATCAGAATAGAAGATCATGCCTAGACATTTAAACACCTGCACCGCAGACACACTGTTTAACCAGCAGTCTTCTCCCTCTTCTTCATTTCTTCCCAGTGTGCAATGCTACTCTTCTACGGTATTCAGGTTTCCATGGTCAGGATGATCAGATCCTATTAGAAAAGGCCTGCATGTTAGTTACACTTAGAGGAGGACCAGGGGAACAGCCTGTGGTAAAGGTGAAGTGATTTTCAACATGGTGATACTTAAAGACAAGGAAGCAGCATCTCCCGACTTGAATAGAATGATAGATATTTAGCAAAGAGAAATCAAGACGACGAACATTCCCGAGGCAGAGTTGTCTCTAGGGGAAAGGCCCTCTCATCCTGTAACTACAGTGGCACAGCCATCTGTCCCCTTAGCCACCATGGAAGGGAATCCAACCAGATGCACTATGGATTATGGCTTGGGAGGGAGAAGCAGGTACCTATGGGAGGAAGAGAGTCAGATTTTTATTTTCTTTTATTCTCTCTTCAAACATATATAAAGCAAAAACATTGGTGACATTGGGAAAAGGAAACAGTAGTTTATGTGAAGATGAAAGACTGTGATATGGAGAGACAGCAGCTAGAGCTTTACTTCTTTCTGCCTTTGAAAAACACCTTCTTTAGTGTGTTTGATTAATTAATTTTATTTATTTATTTATTATTTATTATCTTTGGTTCTTGATATGGAACCCAGAATCTTGTGCAAGCTAAGCAAGTGCTCTATGACTGAGCTACATCCCCATCATTTAGCATTTTTCATTTTTCTTTTTATTAAAGTGTGTGTGTGTGTGTGTGTGTGTGTGTGTGTGTTTACTTAATCCTACAGCCACAGTGTACATGTGGAGCTCAGAGGACAACCTACAAGAATCCATTCTTTCCTTATTCCATGTGGATCCTGGGAATCAATCTCAGGATATCATGCTTGGCCTTCACCCTCTAGGCCATATCATTGGCCCTGTTCCTTTACTTATTCACCTGCTAAAATATTTCAAAATATCACTAAAATGTGATGCATAGAACATGTGGTTTCCTGTATGTGTCAAATACTTAGGGGCAAATGGAATTGGGCCCCACAATTATCAGATGGACCTCCTGTGGCAGCCATGGTCAGCAAAGCCTATCTGTATCACTTCCATATGAACCACTGCCTGCCCCTCCCAGTTTCAGTCCATCCTCCTGCATACAGCCTCTGCTGTGGACAGAAAGATGCCAACATAAGGAAGAGACCTTGCTCATACTTTATATATCATGGTGATGTCCAACTCACATATGTTCAATTTGTTCATTTTGTCCTAGGTATATCTCTTGGTGAAAATGACTTTGATGGAGAATACTTCAGAGGTGACTGAATTTGTTCTTGTGGGGTTAACAGATACCACTGAGCTGAAAGTGCCTTTATTCATAATCTTCACTCTAGTTTATTTGATCTCACTGGTTGGGAACCTTGGGATGATCATTTTGATTTTGGTTGATTCCCGACTCCACACACCCATGTACTTTTTCCTCTGTAACCTCTCCCTAGTGGACTTTATTTATTCCTCAGCTGTCACTCCCAAAATAATGGAAGGGTTCATCACAGAAGATAAAGTCATATCCTACAATGGGTGTGCTACCCAGATGTTTTTTTTGATAGCATTTGCCACTACTGAAAGCTTTCTCTTGGCCTCGATGGCCTTTGACCGGCATGCAGCAGTGTGTAAACCCCTGCATTACACCACCACCATGACAAGCACCACATGTGTCCTAATTGTCACCTGCTGCTACATCAGCGGATTCTTGCAGTCCTCCATCCATGTTGCCTTCACTTTCCACCTCTCCTTCTGTCATTCCAATGTGATTAATCACTTTTTCTGTGACATTCCCCCACTGCTGGCTTTGTCTTGTTCTGATATTTACATAAATGAGATTATAGTCTTTACTTTGGCTTCATTTGATACTGTTTTTTCTCTCTTGATTATTTCCAACTCTTACCTGCTTATTTTTGTTGCAATCCTGCGGATGCGTTCAGCTGAAGGACGTAAAAAGGCCTTCTCCACATGTGCATCTCACCTCACCACTGTATCCATGTTCTATGGGACAATCATCTTCATGTACCTACAGCCCAGCTCCAGTCACTCCATGGATAGAGACAAAATGGCATCTATGTTCTACACCACAATCATCCCCATGTTGAACCCTCTGGTCTATAGCCTGAGGAACAAAGAGGTCAAGAGTGCATTCCAGAAGGTTGCTGGAAAAGCATTTTCTTCACAGGGCCTATTCCATTAATTGTAAAGCACTTGCACACTATGTGAAACTTTCCTTGGACTTCTGTTGTCTAAGTATATATTCCTTGCAATTATTTCTTTTCTTCTATTGCTCTGAACTCTACTTCTACACACGAAGCCTCATTCTTTGGAAATATAACTAATTTAGAGCAAATTTTGGAGGGCTTACTATAAATAAGATGTAATACAATTTAAAAATCAAGATTATAATCCAGATACTGTCAGCATCCCACCATGCTTCACAGAGTTGGCATGAAATATTTTGATGGTAATCTCATATGTTTCTGAGATCATTTATATTTTCAGTTCATGCAGTTCAAAATAATTGATTCTGGTGCACAGAAAGAAGTCATAGTTAGCTGTGTGTGTTTTTTTAAATGTAGATGGGGGTAAATTTTACAAGGACCCAGCCCTAGGTGAAGAGCTACAGGCAATCAGTCAATGGCTGTTGTGAGGGTGAGAATAAGTTTGCTCCAGGGATGAGTCTCTTATAGGTTATCTAATCACAAGTGGTCAGCCTTAAACACACATGAATACAAGCATCATTAAATGGACTCAGTAGGTTGTAGGTAAATATACATATACATATATATGCATAATTAAAGAAAAGTTTAGGAAATTGGGAGAAAGGAAAGCATTAAAGAGTTAAAGGGGAGGTGGAGGGATGGAAATGATGTAAATACAGTACTTATGTATAAATTTCTCAAAAAATAAAAATGTTGTAAAAATATGTAAGGCACATACACAAAAAATAATCATTTTGAGATACTGGAAGAGAATTCAGAATTCAGGATCTTATACAAAATAGCTTTATTTCATAAAATTTGGTAAAATACAAAAATCCCTATATATACGGTCTTAAGATTAAAACACTTCAATGGTAAGGATCAAAAATTAGGGACAGCCCAGGCGTGGTGGTTCACACTTTATATTCCAGCACTTGGGATGCTGAAGCAGGTGGACTGCTGTGTTTGAGGCCAACCTGGGATGGTCTACATAGCAAGTTCCAGGCCAGCTGGAGCTAAACAGTAAGACCCCGTCTCAAGAAAATCAGGGACAACATGTTATCTAAATATATCTTGACCATGAATTCCAGAGATCAAAGATATATTTCAGACCATACCTCATTCAAAATTATATCCATATCTAATCTCTTCTCAAGTTCTAGATAGCATTTTAGCCATGACAAACTCCTGGGTTGGAGAGCAATATTCCCAACCAAATATGTTTCTGTAAGTTAGATAAAAATGCTAATGAATCCCCACAAAATGGGAGGTTTATGTCTGTATCACTTGTAGGAACTGAAGAAGTCAGAGGATGGAAATGTTCAAGAAGTGTCCCAAATTACTAAGTACAGTTTTGAGTTCTCAGTATGCTGATTTCAGGGTCAACAGTGAGGGAAAATTCCTTCAGGTTGGCTTCAGATGGATGAAATGATAGTGCTGGTCACTCACAAGGGTTGAGTGTAACAAATCAAACCATGGTCAGGATGCAGCTACACGGAGTTTGCTGGCTAGGACTGGAGTGCAGGGAGCTGTGCACTCCTCAGGGCCAGTCTGCTTCTCTGTAAGCCTCTGGTAACTGCCAGGGTCATCTTTCTGCCGGAGTCATTAAATACTTGTTAAAGGAAATAAATTAAAATTAAGTAATTAAATAAATGATTAGAAAACATGAAACTTTATGACCATACAAGTGAGCAGACGAATGAATAGGTGAGGAACAGAGCTGAGATTGAATCAATGAGTCAATACATAATAGATCCCTGACAGCTGATCACAACATTCAAGGACTGCTTACTCTGTATGTTTGAGAAGGGATATCTCTGAAATTACCCACAATATTCTGTCCTCTTTACACCATCAAAGTGTAAATTATCTACTTTTTAAAAACATTTTATTTTTTGTTTTTATTTTATGTGTATGATTATATTGTCTGCTCATATATAAGTCCTCCCATGTAGTGCAATGCCTGTAATGATCAGATGAGGGGGACAGATCTCCTGGAATTGGAGTTACAGATGGCTATTAGCTGCCATGTGGGCACTGGGAATTGAACCAGGGTCCTCTGGTAGAGCAGTCAGTGCAATTAGCAGCAGAGCCATGTCTCCAGCCCTATTATGTACTTTTTTCAAAAAAATTTTTTTCTTTGTTTTTGTTTATTTCATTGGTTATCTTTTTTTTTAGAAGAAGCATTTCATTACAGCTTTAACATACTCATTAACAGTTTCTAGAGCAAAGATATATCTCTTTCAAAAGTGGCTATAAAAATTTTAGGCTTGCTGTTGAATTAATACAGTTATACATATTGAACTCAGTATAAACCCTGTAAGACATAAAATTGAATGAGTTTTTAACCTTTATAAAAATTTCCACTTCATTTTAAAATATACTCTTTCTTAAAGAAAGACTCATTTTTTTGCTCCTAATACTGAGATGTTGGCACATGCATCTCTAATCTGTATGTATCTGATTATTACTAGTCATAATCAGTTGCACTCGGATCCTTGGCACCTGAGTATGTCTATAAAATCATTGGGTAGATTTCAATAAGAGTCCATATGTATAGGTAAAGGCTACATAACAAGCAACAATGCCAGATAGGAGGTACCTTCTTTTGAGTTGTTGGCCAGGGTGGCCCAAGGGACTTCCAGATAGTAACCCAGCATAGAACTGGAAAAATGAACAGCAGACCCCAATTTTATTTAAAGGAATATTGACAACTGTTGCTGCTAGATGAGCAACAGCTGACCTTCCTAAAACAAAGACCTCTGGATAGGCTGACTAGATTCACCATATGGACAAGTAGTGGGGAACGGCTGGGGGTGACGACATCACAGTGGACAGTAGCAGGGGTAACAGAGTATAAGGGCTCTAGTGGGGGGAGGGAGGCTATGGGAGGGCGCCATCTGGGAAGTGGGTGTATAGTTGAATAAGATGTTCTGTGTCATATACACACACACATACACACAAATCAGCAAATTAAAATAAATGAATTATATTTGAGGATGAAGCATAAAATTTACGGCATGTTAATTAGTAAAGGTGATAAACATTACCTATTATGTACTTTTTAATTAACACAAAAAACACAGCTTCTCTCTCAACTTATAGTTCCTTTGTCACTCTGAGGCCTTATGGACATTCATGAAATTATGAAATGGAATGTGATGAGACTGAATCACACCAACAAAGTCACTAAGTATCAAATGCCTGATCCTCTTTGGGGAATCTCTACTGGTGAAAATGCAGCAGAATAATGTGCTCATCCTCCAACCTCCACTGTCTGATGGGAGGAGGTCTTGAGAAGGAGTGTGAACTGGTATCCAAGGTGTTCATGTGAGCCCAACAACATCCTGGATATTGACAATGGGAAATTTATTCCTCAGAGATTCATCACATATTGGGTGGTCAGTCTCTGCAAAACCAGATTAGTAGTACCAAACTACACCCTCTGAGGAATTCTCACTAGAAAGACAAATAGCTAGAAAAGACATAATACCTGTCTTATAATCATAGAAAGTCATTTCATTAGTTCTTCAATATAACAAATTCTCCTCCAACTATTCTAATGTCCCTTCCAAAATGTGAATAATAGTACTGTCTACTTCATAGAGCTGGACTGACATTTAATAAGATGGAATCATTTAAGACATTTAGAACAATGCTTATATACTGTAAAAAATCAACTAAACTGTTTTTATTGAAATTTTAGAAATGGTAATAGAGAAGGGGTCCATCTCATCTCTTGGCCCTTCTCCCAACACAAAACTCCTGCATCCTTTTTTCTCTACTTCTTCATGTTATTGACTTTAAAGAATGCTACAGAGAGGTCCACACCTATCCACCTAAAGACCTTCCTGAAGGTCAAGGACAAGTTCTCTATCTGGTTTTATCAGCTCAACTGGCTCAGACTTGCTTAACAAGAGCTCTCAGCTGCAGAATCATCTCATTCTTCTTTGGGAATCTCCAGGGTGTGCTAATGATGAAAGCCTGCTATGTTCATCTTACCAGCAGTACTAAATAGAAACAAAGTGTTCAGAAGAATCTTGCTCAACTATTCTAAATGTAAGAATTATGTACAATGTATTTTAAACACACATCTGGGATCTAAATATACCCAAGAATATCTGTGGTCCAGAAAGTACAGGAATCCACAATGGTCAGAATTGAGCCTGGATGCACAGAGCTCTGTGAAAGTACTTTGTTGAGCTTTTAAATCAACATTCCAAAAAACAAGGAAGAAACATGTTCAGGGAAACTAGGTGTTGGCTTATATATTCCCTTCTATGACTACGGTATAAATTAAATCTGAGTCAAGATTTGGTTAATAACCTGTCCCTGTAATTACAGTAATGGAGAGAAAATGAGTCAATCCTTGGCAAAAAAAAGAAATAATAAATAAATATTAAATAAATAAATAAATAAATAATAAATAATCAATCAGGACCAGTCACAGGTCCAAGACACTAAACCAGAATCATTGGCCCTAAAGGTTCTCACAGCACTTGGGTCAGCCTAAGGAAGAACCTCATGGTCCCATGGGTCCTGAGAAGACCTGGAAACCTGACCATGAGGAAAAGTTCATGACTTCACTGCATGTTTCTAAAGTCAGTATAACTCTTGTTATCTTCAATAGAGATGTTTCTAAGTCAAAAAAGAAAAAAAAAAATCAGGACAGAAACATTTCTGAAAAATTCTGAATCATCCATGAAAAGCCAGAATGCTCTGACTCCATTTTGGCTAGCTTCTTTAGACAAGCCCAGACAAGCTCAGGCATATTGTACATGTAAAAGTCTTATAAGGTATGAACAAAAACTTCTGACTCTAAAAGATATTAGCACATTCCAATGCCCTGAAGACAGCCCCTACCAATCAAGACTTCCCCCGTACACAGGATATGGGGACATCCAATTATTTTAAAAAGATGCTTGGCGTGCGTGTGTTTCTGTGGAGTGCCCCAATAAAAGCTCCTGCCTGCTATTGTTCAGGGCCAGACTCCATC